AGGTGAAAGTGAACTCATGGTTTCACAAGGATAAATACGCGGGTAAAATAAATGGCTATGCGTATTGTAGGCTTCGTCAGTCATATCGTCGGGTTGATGCAATACTATTCCAGGCAGTGTTCGGATAATCATTCTCAAATCTCATTCATTGAGTCCTCCCGAGAGAATAAACTTGAATGCGAATCTGGCAAATCAATCTCACGCTTGAAATTCTCATGCATTTTCACGCACTTACACTTACAACGCCATAATATAATTCCATTTTGATAAAACCCGCCCAAACGATTTCCAAGCGCTGATACAAAAACAAAACTAATAACAAAAAATTTTGGAACCTGAAAACTCATCGATGAAAAACCATAGGTGAACTATCTCAAGCGTAAGGTTTGAGTTAAAAATTTCCTTCCACTGATTTGAAAAAAAAAAAATATCTTTTAGGAGCTTTACTCTATACTTATTCACTGATCACGTAAGACTAACTACATTTTCAATCTTACGCTAGCAAGGTATGTTTATGTTTACGCTCCGGTGCTGGCTATGTAGGGTGGTCACGAGATCTCGTTGGGATGTGATGATATCAGCAACTGATTATGATTGTTTATCCGGTGCATCCGGTGTGAGAAGTAAACACTTCGATCGTTCGATGGATTGGCGTGATAATATGCTGAGCTTGTAAATCGTGTCGTCCGTTTCTAACTTTTGACATCTCAGACGACGTCGTCCGCAAACCCAATGATCTCAACTCGTTTGGGTAGCTTCAGCATTAGACCGCCGATTTAAATCACGTTCCAGAGCGTTGGACCAAGAATGGAGCCTTGTGGAACTCCCACCGTGATCCTAATCGATATCTGTCCCATATTTAGCTCGTAGATCAGAACCCGGTTCTAAATAGTAGTTGCGTCGGCCTCCCAGCTGGAGCTGTTGAACGCATTCTTGACGTCGATCGTTATCACAGCGTAATATCGATCTTCTCTCCACTTCTGTTTCGAGGCCTTCTCGGTGTCCACACCGTAGGGCAGCAAACCCAACACAACAGTGTGCGTAGCTGCGGTTGGCGTACCTAATGTTATTGCCGTATCGTACCGTTGTCAGATGTGAAGAAGGGGAAGAGAAAAACAAAACCAAACAAACCAAATAGAATTTACAAATGGATATTGTTAGCAGATAGAGATTGTTAGCAGACAGAGTGAAATTAAAGAGGAATTTATCAAAACAAAAAGTGTTGAAACGTGAGAAATTTATTTCAGATCATAAAGTTCGTTTATACTGTGCATCTGGTTTCCTGTCGGCAAACTGAAAATAGAAGGAAATTATGATTATTTCTTTTGTTGAAGCTGATTAAATTTGAAACAGATGTATAGGAAAGCAAGCGACGATTTGAACGGGAGAATTCGTGGTAATTAGAAGCAAGAGCTAGAACGAGGAAACGGCTGTGTAGCGCACAAGAGCAGAATTAGACCACTTCTTTTTGAGCTGCCACAAAAAAGAGGCTGCTACAAAAATTTTGGTTTGGTTTCCGAACATTCTCAAAAAGAAGTGTACGAGAATCGGATAATCTTCAAAGCGCTATGGCCAATCCTGCTCCACCCGTTCTGGACCTCACGGAGACTCCTTGTGCGTCGTGCGATGAAGTTTCGACCGAAAATAAGGAGATGATCGGTTGTGATGGTTGCCAACGTTGGTACCATATCCGTTGCGTCGGGATTACTGATGCGAAGAAGGAAGGTACGTGGTACTGTACCGAAGAACCATGTCAACGAATCAAGAAGAAGAAAAGTCGCAGCAAGAAAAATGGCGATGAATCGGATCGCTCCAGCGTCAAATCCGACCGTGCGCTCGCTCTGGAGCATAAATTGAATGCGATGGAGGAGAAACAAAAACGGATGGAGCAAGAGCTGGAGATGGAGATGAAGATTAAAAAGAAAGAGATGGAGCTCAAGCGATCCATTGAGATGAAGCGGACGAGGAAGAAGAAGAAGAAGAAAAACTGTTCCAGGAGGAGAAAAGAGCAGTTGAACCAGATGAAAGCTAGGCAGCAGTCGTTCGCGGACGAGATGAAGGAACTGGATGAAGCTATGTCGGAGACGAAGAACACCGAAAAGAAGAGAGTAACAAAAGACGTCGATGCTGGCGAAGGTACTTCAAGAGTAAAGCCAAAACTGCGCCATTCGAAGATCGGAAATTGACTTATCAGAATTTGAAGAAGTTGAGAGCTGCTCAATACGAAAATTCGGATGAAGACGATGAAGATGAGACAGCTGATGAAATGGAGGATGATCAAACCGAATCCGGCGAAGAATCCGATGGTGTTTCGGAGAAAAGTTTAGCTACGAAGAACAGCAAGTCAACGAAAAAGTTCGGTAGATTGAGCCAACACGGGCTGGGGCAGGCACGATCCGGACTGACCAGAATTCAACTGGCAGCGAGAAGTGGCGTAAGTAAAAGACTACCCACTTTCTCTGGAAAGCCGGAAGAATGGCCGTTGTTCTACGGAATGTACCAAGCATCGAATGAAGCCTGTGGTTACTCGGACATTGAAAACCTGGTGCGGCTGCAAGAATGCTTGAAGGGTCCGGCTCTGGAGATGGTGCGTGGACAACTTCTTCTGCCGAAATCGGTTCCGAAGGTTATTGTAAAACTTCGCCAGTTATACGGCCGCCCGGAACAGCTACTGCAGAGCCATTTGGAGAAGGTCCGTAAGCTGGAACCACCGAAAGTGGGTAAGCTGGCCAGTTTCATTCCGTTCGGCACGGCAGTCGAGCAGCTGTGCGAACACTTGGAGGCGGCGGAACTCAAACAGCACAGAACTGGTTGAAAAGCTCCCAGATAACGACAAGCGCGAGTGGGTGCGCTTCAAGCGAGGGAAAAAGAAGGTAACCCTAAGGACCTTCACCGATTTCCTCTCCGAAAAAGTCTCGGAGGCCTGCGAAGCGAACGTCAGCATGGACTACAAGTCAACCGGAAAGTTTAGCAGCGACAACCGTTCAGGAAATGCCCAAAGCAAAGCGAAGGAGAAGTGTGCGGTGTTCAACCACAGCGAAGCTGAGAATCGTCAATCCGGCGTTGGAGAACGAAGGAATCTAGGGCGTGCAGGGCGTGTCAGTGTAGAGACCATCGGTTGCGGTATTGCCAAGATTTCAAGAACCTGTCGAACGCGGACCGGATGAAGGTTGTGGATCGCTGGAAGCTGTGCCACGTGTGTCTGAACGAACATGGTTCGGCGCAGTGTAAGTTCAAGCTGCGATGCAACGTTGGAGGATGCTGACAAGCTCACAATTTTCTTCTACATCCGATCAATGGTGCAATTGGTACCACAGTGCACATTCGGACAAACAACGTCACTTTGTTACGAATGATACCAATTGGTCTTCACTGCGGAGAAATATCCATCACTGTGTTGGCTTTCCTGGATGAAGGTGCATCGGTGACTCTGGTGGAAAGGAACTTGGCGAATCGCTTGGGAGCAGTCGGAGTCCACGAGAAATTTACCATAAAGTGGACGGCTGACATTGCTAGAGTAGAGAAGGAGTCAAAGCGGATGAATTTGTGGGTCTCAGCTGTTGATGCGGATGAAAAACTTCTTCTGAAGACGGCCGCACTGTCAAAAAGCTGATGTTGCCTACACAAGTTTTGGACGCAAAGGAGCTTTTGCGGCAGTATAAGCATATGCGAGGATTGCCCATCTCCTCGTATGACGGACGGCCGAAAATACTCATCGGGTTGAACAACATCCACTCGTTCGCCCCGATTGAAGCAAAGCTCGGTGCAGTGATTGATCCGATAGCCGTGCGGTGCAAGCTCGGATGGACGGTCTACGGACCGAAGCAAGCGAACGCTGTCGAAGCGAGCAGCGGATATCTTGGAATCCCCCAGGAAGTGAAAAATGAAGACCTTCATAAGCTGCTGAAGGCACACTACGCACTGGAAGAATCGGTCGTTGGCGTACCGCGGGAGTCTGCTGAGGACGAGAGAGCTCGAGAAGACCACGAGACGAATCGGTGACCACTTCGATACCGGGCTACTGTGGAAGACGGACGATCCAAGGTTCCCGGATAACTACCCGATGGCGTTGCGAAAGCTGAAGCTACTCCGGAGGAGCTCGTCGGAACGGAACCCGATAAGGTATGGTACCTTCCACTAAACGTGGTACTGAACCCCAAAAAACCAGGTAAGGTATGCCTTGTACCGCTGCGGCAACGGTACAAGGTATCTCCCTGAATTCACAGCAGTTAAAAGGGCCTGACATGCTTGTGCCGCTAGTAACTGTGGTCGTTGGGTTTCGGGAATACAGAATTGCTGTAGGTGGCGGTCTGCGTGAAATGTATCACCAGATGAAGATCATCGCTCGGAATCGGTAAGTACAACGTTTCCTCTTCCGGAAAGATTCCAAGGGACCTCCACGCGTGTTCATCATGGACGTTGCCACGTTTGGATCGACGAGCTCTCCCTGTTCGGCCCAATATGTGAAGAACCTCAACGCTCAAGAGTACGCTGGGCAATATCCGGAGGCATCAGTGGCGATTATCAACCGTCATTACGTCGACGACTACTTTGATAGCGTCGACACCGTAGACGAGGCGATCGAGTGAACGGAGCAAGTCAGGTTCATTCACCAGAAGGGAGGCTTCGAGATTAGGCACCCCTATTCTGTATTTCGTTCGAAACGAAATTCCCATACACAAAAATATTTTTCGTATGAGAATTTTGTTTCGAACGAAATACAGAATAGGGGTGAGGAACTGGGTTTTGAATTCGCCGGAAGTACTCCAGAGCCTCGGTGAGCAGAAACCGGTTTCAGCCGTCCACATTACCGAAGACAAAGTAACGTCACACGAACGCGTGCTGGGTATGATCTCGGATCCGGATCGTGATGAATTATCTTTCTCTACCCAACATCACCAAAAGCATCTTCCGTACCTATACGGAAACAAACGGCCAACGAAACGTGCGGTGTTAAGCACGCAGCTTAACACCGCACGTTTCGTTGGCCGTTGGCGCACATGGGCTTCTTCGATCCACTTGGTTTACTTTCTCCGTTCACGATCCACGGAAAGATCATCGTGCAGCACTTATGGCGTAGTGGTTGCGATTGGGACGACGCGATTATCGACGATTGCTGGGAAATGTGGAAGCGCTGGATTGCTGTACTGCCGGAAGTCGAAAACATTAGGATTCCACGTTGCTATCTTGGAGATTCCTTGTCGTCTGCGGTTGAGTCAATCGAAGTTCACATCTTCACGGATGCCAGCGAACACGCATACGGCTGTGCTGCGTATCTGCGAGTAGTCATCGACGGAGCTGTGCGGTGTGTTCTAGCTATGGCTCGATCGAAAGTGGCACCGTTGAAGCGCCAGTCAATCCCGCGACTGGAGTTGATGGCGGCTGTACTTGAAGCGCGGATGAGTCAAACGATGATCGCCACGCATTCACTGAAAATCGATCGATGCGTACTGTGGACAGATTCACGAACGGTTTGGAGTTCGATCCGGTCTGACCAACATAAATACAAACAGTTTGTTGCGTTCAGGATCGGTGAAATACTGGCGAGCGACGGATTGGCGATGGGTTCCAACGAAGCAGAATATCGCGGGCGTCCTGACGAAATGACATCGAGGTAACGATCTGGAAAGCGATGGGGTATGGTTCATGGGTGCACCGTTCCTGCACCAGCCCGAAGACCAGTGGCTGACTATGGAGGTGCCGATCGAAGAGACGTACGAGGAAGCCAGGGGCCACGTGACATTCCATGGCGTGGTTGAAGTAGACCGATGCTCGAGATGGACAACGCTGCAAAGGGTGATGGCGTGTGCGGTCAGGTTCATCGACAATTGCAAACGAAAGGTAGCAGGGCTGCCGATAGTCACCTTGAAGGCAACAGATAACCAGCAACATCAAATCCTGGTACCCATGCAATCGATACAACGTCCGCTCGAGAGAGTTGAGTTTCGAACTGCGCAGATCATCCTGTGGAAGCAAGCGCAGTTCGAAGGTTTCCCAGATGAGATGAGCATCCTCACCAAGAATCTGGAACAACAACCAGATGAAGTAATGGAAACGGTGAAGAAGAGCAGTTGCCTGTACAAATTTACTCCGATTCTGGACAAAGAAGGTGTGCTGCGCTTGGGTGGTAGAATGGAGATGTCCGTTGACATGCTTTTCGACAAAAGGTGTCCAATCATTCTGCCAAGAAAGCACGCGACGACAGAGAAGCTGATCCAGTTCTACCACGAGAAGTATGGACACGCCAATCGAGAGACGGTGATGAACGAGCTTCGCCAAAGGTTCTGGATCCCGAACACCCGAGCTGCAATCCGTCAAGTGATGGGCAATTGCGTGTGGTGTAAAGTCCATCGCTGTCAGTCGCATCCCTAGTAGCACGCTTGTAACAAATCAATTGTAGAAACTTATATACGACTTATTTCAGTCATAAACAAGTTGCTGTAACTTATTGTGATGCAAGTGTGCTACTCGGACGGCATGTGGGAGCGGATGGTGAGGTCGGTAAAGGAGGCGATGAAGGCACTAGACGATGGGCGAACATTGTCCGACGAGGTTCTGCACACAACACTAGCTGAAGCAGAGGACATGATTAAAGCCCGGCCGCTAACGTGCATGCCGCAGGAATCAGCTGAGTAAGAACCGATTACCCCGAACCATTTCCTTCGTGGGTCGGTGACAAGTGCGGACTTGGTTCCAGCCAGTGGACATTGCGGAGGCTCTACGAGACACTTACAAGCGTTCTCAATACCTGGCGAACCGAATGTGGGAAAAATGGTGCAAAGAATACTTGCCGACAATCAACAAACTAACGGTGCCGGTGGTGTAGTGGTAAGCGTGATTACCTCTCACCCCAGCAGGCCTGGGCTCAATCCCATCGGCGCCGCCGGGATGTTCTGAGGCATAACATCTCTGATCACGCCTTCCTTCGGATGGGAAGTAAAGCCGTTGGTCCCCGGTTCATGAGTTGATGGGTCGATAGGTAGGGTCCAGGTGTGGGAGCTGCCTTCCTGGCACGTCGGTAGCATTGGTGCTCAGCACGGAAAACAAGATCGACGGAAAAAAACAAACCAAAGGAAAGACAATCAACAGACGGACGAAGTGGTTCGAGGAGCATAAGCCGCTACAGGTGAACGACCTGGTCTTCATAGTGGATGGAAAAACCCGGAAAAGCTGGATAGGAGAGATCGTGGAAGACGTACTCCGAGGACCAGACGGAAGAGTGAGGCTAGCGATAGTGCAGACGGCTAGAAGAGTCTACCGGCGTGCTGTAGTGAACTTAGCGGTGATGAAGGTCTGAAAGTAAATCCGGGACTGCCAGAGGAACTACCTGATGTTACGGGCTGGGGTATGTCAACACCGTAGGGCAGCAAACCCAACACAACAGTGTGCGTAGCTGCGGTTGGCGTACCTAATGTTATTGCCGTATCGTACTGTTGTCAGATGTGAAGAAAGGGAAGAGAAAAACAAAACCAAACAAACCAAATAGAATTTACAAATGGATATTGTTAGCAGATAGAGATTGTTAGCAGACAGAGTGAAATTAAAGAGGAATTTATCAAAACAAAAAGTGTTGAAACGTGAGAAATTTATTTCAGATCATAAAGTTCGTTTATACTGTGCATCTGGTTTCCTGTCGGCAAACTGAAAATAGAAGGAAATTATGATTATTTCTTTTGTTGAAGCTGATTAAATTTGAAACAGATGTATAGGAAAGCAAGCGACGATTTGAACGGGAGAATTCGTGGTAATTAGAAGCAAGAGCTAGAACGAGGAAACGGCTGTGTAGCGCACAAGAGCAGAATTAGACCACTTCTTTTTGAGCTGCCACAAAAAAGAGGCTGCTACAAAAATTTTGGTTTGGTTTCCGAACACTCGGCTCTCTCGACAACTGTCCAAATTGCATCCACTTTTGCTCTTCCTTTTCGAAATCCGAACTGCCTCTCCGACAATCCTTGCTCACTCTCCGTGCATTTCGTCAGTCTGTTCAGGATGATCCCCTCCAAGAGCTTTCCGAGTGTATCCAGCAGGCACTGCTGCGAGTTGCTCGTTGGTGACTTCGTCGTTATCTCCCTCTCCGTCTCCATACGATGTACGTGGCCAGGTCGTTGGATCGTGCTTCGAGAAAAGTCCTTCCACGATGACTTTCAGGAGCATGACTTGACATCTGATCTTCGTCATTGCGATACGGTGTGCGTCGTTGGAAGCAGCGTCTCGACCCAGATCCAGTTGACAGTTTGACTTGCAATGCTTTATCTTTCGTTTATGTGCTCGGAATATTCCTCTACGTTCCTCTCTGTCTGCTTCTGTTCTTGCTCTCTGAACACGTCTTCTGGCTCTGAGACAACTAGCGTGGAGGGTGCTAATTGTCTCGTTGCAGCAGTAAGCTGGAGGCCATATGCTCTTCCTAACTATTCTGTCTACTCGTCTTCCACTTCAGGTCGCAAGTTCTCGTCCTCTCTACTGCCACAGGATTCCGTTGGCCGATGCCATATCGGATTGCCTGATGGTCACTATAGGTCTATCCTTCACACACTCTCCAATTCATGTTTTCCACCAGCGACAGACTGCAGTCTGCAATAAAGTGACGTCGATAATGGATTCCCGGCCATCTCTGCGAAAAGTCCTGGTGGTGCCTTTATTGAACAGCTTAATTTCCAGCTTCGCCAGGACTTTCAGCAGAATGTGCTGTCTTGCGTTGGTACATCTGTTTCCCCACTTCACTGCCTAAGCATTGAAGTCTCCTCCGATGACTACCGGTCTTCGTCCGATCAGCTCTTCGGTAAGTCCAACCAGCGTCTCGTGGAACTGCTCCATCCGGGTACGTAGCAACTGCTTATGAATATTCAGTTAATTTTGGCGATCGCGAAACCTTCTTCTTGAATGGGGTATCTGCCCATAACTTTTATTTCAGCCATCCCAGCTCAGCTCTATCCGCCACCTAGTTACATTTATCGGGAGGGACTCGATACAGCTGTGCAGTGTCACAATAATTGAAGTTTATTTGAGCTACCTCTGTTATTGTTGCGACAAAACAAATTCATCCTTAAAAACCAAAAAGTTCAGCAAAATTTTCAGGCTGACAAAATCGGGAAAAAAAGCTTACCAAATCGGGGGTCGAAAAAATCGGAAAAGCACTGTATGTATAATTTATTTGGCAGTCTATGCACGGTATTTCGAAACGACCGCAACCACCAGAATAGTACCAAATCGCGTGGGGGAGGCGTCTTGATTGCGGTATCCAAACGCCTAAGCTCCTGCATCGATCCTGCTCCAGTTTGCACTTCTCTAGAGCTGCTGTGGGTCAAAATAACGACGCCTCGTAGATCAATAAGTATTGGCGCTATGTATCTACCTTCAGACCGGAAATCTGATTCGAGCAGCATTGCAAACCACATCAGTTGGATTGGTACCGTTTTCTCTCGACTAAAACAAAATGACCTAGCTCTGATATTTGGTGACTACAATCAGTCTGGGCTCTCATGGAACGTTCCTGCAAACGATCTTCCTAGCATTGATGTTCTTCGCTCGAACATGCCCGCATCATGCTGTGCTCTCCTTGATGGTTTCAACCTGCATGGCTTAACGCAAATCAACTCGATACTGAATAGCAACTCTCGGCTGCTTGATCTCGTTCTGGCGAACGAAGCTGCAGGACTGGAATGTTCTATCCTAGAAGCCCCAGAGCCTTTGATTGGCATCGACACCAATCATCCTGCGTTGGAAGTTTCCATCAACCTATCTGTTCCTGTTCGCTACGATAACCCCCCTGTTGATGTACATGAGCTCGACTTTCGTAGAGCAGATTTCGTCGCGCTGAGTCACTCGCTTGCCCAGGCAGTTTGGTAGTTCCTTGACACGTGTTCATCTATTGATGAAGCCGTCAACTACTTCGCTGAGGTCGTTGGCCGGGCAATAACTGATTCTGTCCCATTGAGGAGTCCCAAACCCGCATGGTCAAATGCTCGACTACGGAATTTGAAGCGTCTGAGACCGTAAGTACTGTCGTACTCATAACCCATTCACCAAACGATTATTTTCAACAGCGAGCAACGAATATCGCACATACAACCGCATTCTTTACAAGAGCTACACAAGGCGTGTGCAGGCTAATTTACGGCTTAATCCAAAGCAGTTCTGGTCATTCGTGAATACCAAACGAAACGAGGAGGGTCTACCAGTTGAAATTCACCTGGGTGATAGAATCGCCAGCAATTCCCTTGAGAAATGCAATCTTCTGGCAGAACATTTCAAAAGCATTTTCAATGACACTACGGCTTCGTTGTCCCAAGTTGCTGAAGCGGTGAGGGACACTCCCAGTGAAGCTTTCAATTTTTCGATTACCTTGGTTACAGTAGACGGAATCCCCTCAAGTATCCTGAAGCGATGCTGTTCAGAGCTTACAACACCGCTTTCGAAGCTGTTCAATATTTCATTACAGCAGGGGTAGTTCCATACGCGTTGGAAATCGTCATTCATGTTCCCGATCTACAAGAAAGGAGACAAGAGAAACGTCGAAAATTACCGAGGGATCACATCACTCAGTGCCTGCTCTAAAGTTTTCGAAATCATCATCAACGACGCATTATTCTCTAGCTGCAGACATTACATTTCTCCTGAA